ATAATGCGATATATATTTAAAGAAAGTATGGAAATTGAACGTTATTCTCAAGTTTATCGTGAACGTTTTGATATTGCTTTTTCTCAGGCGGTAAATATATATTTATTTAATCTTGAAAATTATTTTCTTTTATAAACATTGTTATTGTCATATTTTTTTTATTTGTATAGTTAACTTGTCTTATATTCTCAATCACTGTTCTTCTATCATCTGTTAAAATAAGTGATCAAGCATGGCAACTTTACATAAACAATGGTGAGTACATAGGCATGCGAGAAAAATGTAAATGATAGAATATGTATTATGTTTTTATTTAAATGCATTTTGCAACAAAAAAACACCAAACATTCTCATTCTTTTTTATTTGATCTTCAACACTTGATTTTTTTTTCTTCTTCTGTATTTTTGCGAACACACGCACACACGCGCACACCTATAATTATGATTCCTGTTTTGCGCTCGATTGATGGCCTTCTCAATCGTTTTGATGAATTATCACAACGTCATGCTAGTTTTATATCAGATTTTGAGAAAAATATTACTGATATTGAAAATCCCTTACGTGATGTTACACGTGATGAAGAAGAACAACGAAAAACTGCTGAAAGTTTATTAACGACATCAACAGAAAATTTTGATCAAACAGGATCATTCGGAAATGTAGAAGATTTTAATCGACGTATAACAAAAAGTCGAACTCATAATCGACCACCAAGTTATTCATCAAATGATACTAATTCATTTTATAATCGTGTTCCATCAAGAAGTTCTTTGGCAACAACAGAATCAGCTCCACCTCCACGCACATCAACATTAACAACAAGACCAGTAATAGGCAAAACAAGTACCTCTCAATCAGTAACATCGACTTCAATTCAGAATCTTAACCAACCAAAGGTTCGATTAACAACTAAGATTAAACCAAAAATTATACCCGAAAGTCTACCTACAACACGTCAATATCCTCGTAGTCCAATCACAACATTTACTATGGAAACTGCTATTCGACTTTCAAGACCTAAAACATGTGATCAATCACTTGATCAAAGAGTATCATCAAAACGTGTTCATCGACGACTAAAATCTAATCAAAATACAAAGAATGAAGCATCGGAGTCATCAGTTATATCGGTTTCATTAGCTTCATCATTGAAATCATCACCAAACAAGCGAATAAATCCAACAACAATAAAGACATCTTCGAAAAAGCTTAAAGCAGATAATAGATTTGCAACAGACAATTCGAAAAGAATTCCAATGAGCAACTATCCTCGGCCAGCTATTGTTCTTGTACCCCCACCTACAGTATACCTTACTTTTCCTATGCAACCAGAATTACGATCATCTCGAGTTGTTGTTTTACCGAAAGCAACAACCACAAAAAGACCGATTAATATTTCTACTAAAAATAGATCCGTAATACCGCCGAAGCGATTGATACAATTAATGACATGATCATTTTTTTTTTTCATAAATATTTGGATAGTTTGTTTATGGAATAAAATTCAATATTAACTAAAGATAATTGAAGTTGATAAGTTATAAATAGAGGAGAAAGACAGATAATGAAAATTTCAATTTTATTTTATTCTCTCAATTTTGTTTTTTGTGCATTCTTTATTTTATTCATTGCAGGAATGTTAATCTCTTTCGAATATCTTCTTACATGTGATGCTGATGAATTGGGTATGCTTGAAGATTCTGTTGAAGCAATTCATGCATTAGAAAATGTTCATGTACGTTTTGTACCTGCAACTAAAAATAATAATTTACTTCAACCTCGATTTTTCGGTACAAGATTTTATTGTAAAGTTGTGATACCATTACCGGCTCATATGTTTGCTCAATTACCACAAAAATTGAAAGATGGTGCATCGATTCGTATTGTGCCAATCGTATTCAATATAGGTATTGATCATCGAGCATCAATTGCGCGAATGAAGGCGTTAGTAATAGAAAGAAATAAAAAAGAAAATAAAAACAAAAATAATTGAATTGTTCTTTAAGGTTACATTTCTTCAGCTCAACACAGGTTGAAAATGACCTCAACTATAACAATTTAGCCAAACTCAAAGCCTATATTAATAAAAGTGTCGATAGTTTGCCAGGTACTTTTTTTTTTCTTTTTTTCCATACTTGAACAATGTATTAGTATGAGACTAGAAAAAAAGCATATGAATATTTTGTATTTGTTCTTAAGATGACATACCTGATTTAATGAAATTACTTGAACATACAATCTATTTGAACAAACCAAAAAATGTTGATATTTTTCCACTTGCTGAAAAAGTATGATATACTTTTTGACATGTTTAGTCATTTTCTTTATTTCAATTTAGATTTGTCGTCGAGCATATGGAATACGAGTCACTGGTTGTAAAAGTGCTAAAGATCGTACATCAATGAGTTTTACATTAGAACAAGGACAATTACTTGTAAATAATCATAATATTGATCAACATGATTTACAAGATGTACTTAATCAATTTCGACGTAATGGTACATCAATTGAAAATGCACTTGCTAATACAGGCGCTAAGGCATATGCTTTTTCATATATACAATTACGTACATTTCCAGAATATTATCGTGCTCAACCAGGCACTTACGGCAATGTTCAAACATAATTCCAATAAAAAAAAAACCTAGTTGTAAATGCGTTTTATTTTTGTAGTTAAAAATATTATATGTAGTTCGCATTTATTAGTGATATATTTCATGTATTTTTTAAAAATTAAGAGAGAAGAATATTGTTTAACTGAATCTATTTGGCTTCATATCAACCATAAATGCTATTTCTTATATGTTGATTAACTGTGAAGTAGTACCTTGTTATTGAGGTTCATTTGTTTTACATTGTTCATCGACGACTGTTTCATCACGAGTTATTTGTTGATGAATAAATTAGCAACGAGTATCAGCAAAGGGCGGTTTACAGGTATAACAATAAACACAGAATATACTAAGAATAACAACAATAATTAAACGTCGAATTCAATGAAAAACAAAAGATGCTGCTTGTTAAAAACCATAAACTATTTGAATAATTGTATTTGTGTCTGTTAGTGGAAATGTAACTTTTGACTGTAGCTGTTTTGGTCACAATCATATATGGCTTTAGTCTTATAGTTCTGATGAATCATCAACGTTTTCGTTAAACATTCTTTCATATTGATCATTGTTCTAACGTTTTCTTTCTCGATGGCATATGATTGATATAGGTATAGATCTATATGTGGACGTATGTGTGATTTGGTGTACATGTTGGTGTGGGTTTTCTTTGTGCTTAGGCACACGTCCACATTGTCGTGATTGAAAATCATTTAAAGATTTGGATCAACGGTTAAGTGAACTTTCATTTAAACATGAATAGATTATTGCTGAAAATCATGAATCAATTTTAGTTCCAACACTGAATTATCAACGTTTTTGTACAGGCTGAACAAGTGGTTATGAATGATGATCTTCGCATATATGGTTTATCTTGACGTTCAACAGACTTTGATGATATGCATGCAGATTATGGAGTTTATAAACAATCAAATGGAACCTACTTGATAACGCGTCATCTTCTCCCTTTTTCTTTATCTCAAACGTTGAATGATTATTTAAGATTCAAAATTTCAATCAATGAAGATTTAGTGATTTCTATGGAACATCTTATTTAATTTATCTTAACAAAATTCAGAGCGAAAATAATTGTTAATTTTATGACGATAGTTATAAATAATAGGTTGTGTTGTTTTTCTTTTTTTCATATTCAATATTTTCAACATGAAGCGTCTTGAATAGTTAACAATTTGATCGAGAGTAGATTTCTTATTTAACTAATAGAACTATTATAAATGACTGCAATTAGATAGTGTTTTAAGAGTAAGAGCAGTGTCATGAAGACAACAAAAGCCGTTTAGAAGGCAAAACGATTTTAAATAATAGTTTATTTATTTCCTTTTTCTTGAAATAAATCACTAAAGGACTATAATAAACATTTTGAAAATACAGAAAACAATTTGTTGTTGTTGTTGACTAGGACAACGAATAATTAAACTACAAATAAAAGAGATTTTAGAACAGAAAAAGATACTGTTTGAAATCTACTAGTGTTCAAATAATGAAGAATTCTTATGCAATAGTCTATTTGATTTTAATCTGATTTAAAAAAACAAAAGTACTCAATTTCAAAATGAAATAGGAATCTTGACGGGCCGTAGAATTTTGTATGATAGTGTATTCTTTTTATATCCTTTACTTTTATGACATGTAGTTCTTACGAATCTACAGATGATATATAGTGTATATATAGAGTATGTAATATCCTTTCCATTCTTGAGTGAGAATATGTTGTTAGAATAAGGTTGAAAGTGAGAATGCTATGATTATTATAACCGTGTTTCGTTACTTCTTTTATTTGGTTGTAGGACGTTTCTTGCAAGATATTCTAAGAGAAGCATTGCTTTTTTTAAGACATATTAAACACTCGCAGCTTGGGACAAAGAAGAATGTTTTTTTTTGTCAAAATTCAGTTTGAAATGAGAAGAATATTGACTCTTAAGTCATTTCAAAGTGGTTTCTCACCAAAATTTATACTGAAAATAGCTGCAACATTTGACTGTCGAATAAAAGTTGCTCGAAAATACAAGTGCCAAGATAAAGATAATGTTCGATTTATAACTCCAATATACATCAACTAATGAAAAACGTTGATGCTTACGATTGGAGGTTTTTTGTCGCACATATACACCTAAAATATTAATTCACTATCAAGCAAAATAGTTGCAATTGTTAGAGAAGGGGACGTAGACAAATTTGTCCATCACTGTATATGTGCGTATACATGGCGATAGATTACTCGACAAGAAACGCACATGTAACTTTGTTGCTTTTTTCTTTCCTGACAAAGATCAAACGAGAAGGTAATAAAAATGCACTGTCTGCTCGATTCATGAATCATTACAAAAGCAAATATTTCTGCATAAAAATCAACCAGCGCAATTTGAAACATGCTGAATCAGGGTAAGATTTTACTGTTTGAAAGGTTGTTTTTAAGACTATCAAGTAAAGTTGAACTCTTTTTAAATTGTTACCAAATCGATAAATAATTGAGCTATTTGAATTTAACAATGATTAGTGTTAACAGTACTTATGTATTTTTTGAGTAGATAAGATTCTATGTGAAATCTAAAATATTCTAAAGTATCCATTGTAATTCTTTTGATTGTGATCACTTCGTAATAAATTTCACTTTCAAACCATTTTATACTTTGAAAAAAGATTACACAATGTTGCAGTGAGAGTACAGTCTTGTAGATAGCGCTAGTGTTGTACAATATTTTTTTTTTAAATATTTTACCTGAGTTTGAGTTTTTGTACATTGAGGAGACACTGAAACATTGTCTGTGGTGTCACGAAAAAGCACTTGATTTCTATGCAAAAATGTCTAGTAGAAAATATGTATAATGTTTTTCATTAGTTCAAAGAAGTATTACAAATGCTTGGACTTATTTTGCTAGACACATGCTACAGTATAATAGATACAATTGATCTTAGTAGAATATAAGCAAGACATTGGAGTTGTATTTGTTTGTATTTAAACTACTATATAGTATAGGTGGCAAAGTCATCATTGGATGAAGATCTCTCTCTATGAAACAAATCATGTCGTTTATATTTTCGATCAGATCTCATGTCGAAACAGAATTGTTTTTGTAATGAAATTCATAAACTAGAAACAACTAGTACCGTAAATATTAATTAATAAAAATTCAAAACGAAAGAATATACAGTTTCCGTCATGAGTTCCAAGAAAAGCGAAAATCAAACTAGTCGTAATAATTTCTTACAAAATTCTTGTCCTGTGACTTTGATGAATTCTGTAAATTAATGATTGTCAAAACTATTGTTTGTCTTACATTATCAGGCTTTTATGCTATTTTATAAAACATATCTACAAGAAAAATTATGAATTTGACAAACGATTTATGTAACGATACGGAATAGTATATTGAATATTTCAATTTTATGATGTATAGAGAATTAAATAGTTTATGATTTCGAATTTGTCTTTTCAAGATACATGATCGGAATGTTTACATAAGTGAAATAAAGAATAGCAAATTTTAATAAGTGACATTCTGTGATATAGTGAATGTAGTATACGTTTCACATTTTTTTTTTTTCGCTTTTTGGATATCCATTCTATGCTATACGAACCTCTAACACCATTTAATTGCAGGTAGCTACATAAAATATTGAATCAAAAACATTGTGAAACTTTAGCATATCCAGCTATCAAAAGCATTTTTTTTGTCGAAAAATTCACATTATTTTTATGCTGTTACAAACCAAAAAATTGGCAAGGCAACTGTTTCGTGCAATCAAATTTGCACGTTTTCGTAGCGTAGACTAAAACTCCTTTCTATACGGTATCATTTCTCAGTAGAACAGTTTTTGATACTAAGTTGAACATAATCAAAATCTAGCTTGTTTAAGCTCATTTAGATGGAAACAAAGATTAAATTCAAATTTCAAAGGGCAAATATAATGTGCGATTCATTTTATTTTGAAATGAAACAAAATAAGTTCAGCATATTATTCTTACATCTGTGTATATAAAATTTTCTTGTATTTCTGAAAAATTGATGATCAAACAAAGAAGTTTTATCCTGCGTGGTTTCGTGTGATGCAAAGAAAATTCTATTATAGTCAAACAATAGAGTTTTTCTGACATCACAAAATGGTTACTTATTTTTGTCTTATGAAATAAGGTGTCAATAAATGAAACAGAGAATACTACATTTTTTTTCATTGCAAGCTACACATGTTGAAGTTTCATAATTGTTTTTTTTTATTCACCATTTCATGTTGATATCTGAAATTAACTGGTCTTGTACATTCTAATAGGGAAAACCATGGTCATCTTCTAGTTAAAACAAATTTATTCTTGAATGATTAACTGAAAATAACCGGTGAGCAAAATACTGCAAGTGCCATTCTTTATAGCGTACCCATTAATGAATAGAGTTTGACGGAAGATTAACCGCAATAATACAAGAATTTTTCTTGTCTTGTAAGATATGCAAAAGTCATTTGAAAAAATATGTAGAACTGTCAATAAGTTTTAACTAACTATTTTTCAACCCAATACAATAAACATTATCAGTGTTCTATGTTGATATTTGTAGAGCCATATCTAAAAGATCGCTTATTGATACCACCATCATATGACGAGGCGACCTACCGCCAACAACAAATTGCAAGTTCGTCTTATGTTCCTGTCAATGTTGGTTATATTACTCCTTCAGGCCCAGTGGCCATCGATGCAAATTCTGTGCAACCGCAGCCTACAAGACATTCTTATCAAGGCGCTGTCATTACTGGAATTATAGTTGGTGGTGTAGTTATAATAGCTCTCATAGTATCTCTGACGTTTATATTTACAAGACGCAGTTTCGTTACAACACCTACAACAACGACTACAACAACTAAAAGACCAAGTAATATTCAAATGAGAAAGTTTGATTTTTCTTTCTTCAAATTTGATACATATGCACACTGTATAACTACTGCAGCAATTGCGTTCGAGAGAAAAAGCTTGTTAAAATAACTTCCAATAAGACTAAAATGTGAAACTCATAAAGATGTCATGCTGAACAAGAAAAAATAGGTTTTCGATTTCGTGACCTCATTCAATTTTTTAGATTGTTTAAATTTTCGGTTTTATGAATTCTGAAAGTTGAGAAAAAGAGAATTTAAATATTCCATAAATCTATACAATGTTCCGTAGTTTAAAATCTGCATTTCTTCCTTAACACCAATAATGAGAAAAGAACAGAAATAGATGAGAGATACTAAAGCCATGAAAATCAACATCATAAATCTGCATAAGAATGTATCATAAGTATGAGTGCAGGCGCGTGTGGTGGTACTGTGTGTGTTTAGGATGGATATGAAGGGATGGATGAGAGTGAGAGTGAGTGCAGGATGTGCGAGAGTCAGGATAACAGTAAAGATCAGTTTCTTCTCTTCATCCACACCCACTCTAAATGGATAGTCTCAAACTTTTGCATTCACCGTCACAGTCGTTATCATTCCACCTACAAGATAGCCGCTGAGCCAAAATTCCATCAATCATTTTACCCTTTATTGAAGTGTCATATAAAAACAATGATCAAAACAAATTTTTTTCGAGATTGAAAATTTTTATTTCTTGCTGTTCTTCACCATCCTATCTTATTCCAGTATATTTAAAGAAAATGTAAAGATTTCTTTCAACAGATGAGAATTACCTCAGAAGAGTATTGCTCTGGTTCTAGATTATCATTGAGCATAATTATATTCGGAATTAATTTCTCAACAATTTTTAGTATCAAACCTACATTTAGTATTTTTTTTTTGATAGTATGTTTCGACGGCGATGGATTTTTGGTAAAAGAAGGTGGCTCTCGAGTGAAAATACGTGATATTAAGATAGGTGATCAAATACTTGTGGCTTACGAAACGGCGATTCAAGGGGTTAAACTTCGTTCAAGTCCAGTGCTCGCAGTGGACATCTTTCAGAAATATAATAATGGTTCATCTGTAGATTTTCTAGAAATTCAAGTCGAGTCTAATGTTCGTTTCAAACCACTGCATATCACTCCAAGACATTCATTACTCGTCAAAAAGGAACATGATGTTCAAGTGAAGTATCTCTTTGCGTCTCAAGTTCAGATCGGTGATTATTTGTACTTGGTAGAAGATGACTATCTATCAGCTATTCAGGCTAGAGTGACTAGTATAAAAAATGTTCAACTCTTTGATGCTTACGCACCACTTACACTTGAAGGAACTTTAGTTGTCAATGATGTTGTGGTCTCTTGTTATGGAACATATGTGCATTCGTTTGTTCATTTGATTATGGCACCACGGCGATGGTTACGCTATGGTACTCTTCAAATCGTATCGTCCTTAATGGGACCTACATATATGAAAAAATATATTGATTATCTACACAATTATTTTTCGACAATTGACTTATTTCGATTGATTATACTCAATCGAATTCGAGATTTCATTCATGTATTTGTATCTGTATGAAGCTATTCTCAATAGCAAAATATATTTCAATGATGGAAGAAATATTAACATTTTAAATTTTGAACATTACCGACATTGGATTTGTCACATTCTGAATACTATGAACATTTTATTAATGACCTGTTATTGTTTCAACTGTATAATAACTCATTTTTGTATATTTAATCAATAAATGTAATAATCATGCAAAAGATTTTTTATTGCAAGGTGCAACAAGCTTTCCCTACCTAGGAAAAATTTTCCTAAGAATCTAGATCACATCTTTAATTGATTTTCGATTTAGCTTCTCAGAGACGTTTTAGTGAAACGCTTTTTGAATCGTTGTAAATACTGAGATCATATCAAGACTAATCGAAACTTGAGAAAATACATTATAAACCTCTTATCCTCGCCTTCTAGTTTCACATTTGAAAACCATCGAAAGTATTCTGAATCCATAAGGAAAAACTCATAGAAGCTCTAGCTAATACAACACTCAAGAAAATTATAGGTTGCGTCAGTTTTAATCATATCCCGTTAGTGAATGCAAGTTTTTAGCTAATCACTTGAAATCAGTTTTCTCTGTGTCATAAAACCTATTCTATGGTGCAAAACAGTTAGTGTATTCAGCATTATCTGATAAACTGTAACTAAAATCATCAGAGATTGACAATTTTCTTAGCGTCATTCCTTCATAAATGTACTTCATAGCTTTTCACAACCTGAGACTGCTCAAGTTTCGACATTTGAAAATAAAGAAAATGAATATATTCGAATTCAGAAATTATCGAAAAACTTTCTTTGTTAAGAAGAAACATTTTGCTATTTTCATTGCTTTTGTATTACTACCGAATGAGGCAATAATTGAAGATGTTGATTGCATTTTACTAGCTTTCTTTACTACCAATGAAAGTTATCATACAACTGTTTATTATGTACTTCACAGAAGTTGTATCGACGAGCATGAGACTTGTTTTTCAAAACTCATATGAGCGCAAAACGTGCATTTCGCATTATCAATGCTTTAGAAATTTTAACTTGTTTTCAAGAACGATTGCGTTTTATGTCCTACATAGATGGAACTCACCTTATTAAACTCCATCGGGTTCTAGAAAATCTCACGATGTCCAATAGTTGAATCTATTGGATATTTTTCCATCGATTGACAACAACATCCTGTTGAAATTTGTCAGATTCACGTTTAGCTAATTTAGAATTCGGATCCGAATATTCGAAGTCATAGAATATTTTCAAATCTTAAGAAACCTGACGATTTTTGGTAGGAATTCGATAAGAAAGTTATGCATCTGCTTAAACATATTGTGTGTTATTTACACTGTACTTTTGTGAAGTAGATCGTTGTTAATTTTCCTTTGGTGATCGATTGGGAAAATGCTTGATTACTATCATCAAATCTATAAATGACAGTTTATATTCATGACCATCGAAGATTTACGAAAGTATGTAAGCAGACGTCGAGGTTATCAATAAACTAACAAAATAATCATTTTCAATCTTGAAGCCTTCTTCATACGTATCTATCATAGTTCTTGGCGAAATTCATCGAGAAGCTTCTGACATTGTCAAACTTGAAAATAATTAGATCTAAAAGCATGACAAGCAATGTCAACAGCTTGCGATGCAGATTCAGTCGTTTCTATATATTGATGGAGACTTTTCAATGCTGTTACCATGTTATAATAAGGTAAGATCAGAGGAGGATGATTGAATGGAACATATTTCTCGTAGATGGTAAATGCTTTCTTACAATATGACAGTGTAGTCGAGTAGTCTTTCATCCAATTTTGCACTCTAACAATGTTTGTAGAGATCGTAGTCACTGGTGGATGACGAAATGAAAGATGAATGAGTGCTGTTTTGAGTGTGATTGTCCAAAAATCTTGAACAATTTAGTATATTTGTTTTGTGCTCAAAACACTATATCTAGGATCGATCGTTCAGATCAAATGAATCTCATGAGCTTGTTTTTTTCAGCTATCATTCCTTTTGATTCTGATGTGTTCTAGTTTCTTTATTGAGTTTAGATTCTCCTCATGTTTATTAAAAGAAAACACAAATGCTTTTCTGGTATATGTCATTTGGGAAACGTTTGATTCTACTGCCAGGAGTATTTTGATACTTAAAGAACCCACTTATCTTGAATTGCGATGAATAACCGGTGCATATTTGAATTTCAGAATACAAATCATTCATTGGAAGATCATAATTTAATACGAACAGTCTCCGTAGAGATTATTGCTAAATAAGTCCTCACAACCATCTTCAAGATGACAAAGTAATTATTATCTTTAGACTAGTGTCACTTTCACATGAAATACCAAGAAAAAAACAGTTAGTGTTTTAAAGATTTTATTGGTAAAAACTATTTTTAATAGAAAATAAGTCTGATATTCGGAATCAGGATGAAAAAAATATAATGGACAATTTAGTTTTCAATTGAAAATATCTCATATTAAAATTTGGCTTGTACTCTCTTTTAGTCTTTTAATGGTGAAATTTTATCTTGTAAAGTGTCCCAATGTCAGACTTATTTTACATGAAAAATAATATTTGGCAATCAAAATCTTGGCATACTAGATGTTTTTTTTTCGATACTTTTCGTCGATACGATCCCAGAATTGTCGATTATTTTGAAAAATTAGGAGAAGCTAAAAATTCGGCAGAAAGTGTTTTATCTGACTTTCTGACACACACTGAACAAATACGGTTGAATTCATCGATCTTCCACGAGACTTTGTTTACAGAAAGTGTTTTCATTCGACTTTCTGCCAGAAAAATGGCAAACAGTACTTACAACAGGATTTCTGCTAGAATTTACCATGAGATTTCTTAAAATTTGGCAGAAAGTATCAGAAATTTTCGTAGAAAGTCGGACATGTTTTCAATTTTGGGCGGAAAAATGACCCCACCATCCACTCTTAATCGAGAACCATGTAGGACCCTATTCTAAAGATATGTTGGAGTTTTGAATTCGTTCGTAATCATTGAATATCGAACGATCAAAAAATTGTTTCGTCATACGCTCATTTTCGAGAGCTTGGACGCATTTCAAATACTCGAAGAGACGAGACTCATTGAAAAGAGTCTTTCGTTTGCTTGATATGATTCCGATTAGTTGAAGCTCATCGAAGTATCGAGTGTTCAACGAGAGTAGATCTATCTTAAAAGCACTTTCCCATGCTCATTTTAATTATGATTGTTGAAAACTTCTGCGAAACTCGGTCTCCAAATGCTTCTTCACTTTTATTGCATGATTTTACATTGTTTCATTATTTGAACACTGTTATTTATCAACTGCAACTGAAATTATAATAGTAATATGTTTACATTCGTGATGAAAAGACACTCAAAATGAAATTTAATTTTTGAACACTTCAAACATACTGAGCTCTTTAAATCATTCTAATTTTTGATTACACGTTAGCAAACAACTGTCGATGGGATATTTTCGAACTGTCAATTTGTTTTTCAGTCTTCTAAACTATTGAAATAGTTGAAGACTCAAAATTTAAGGGTAGTAGTTCGACGAGATTTATCATTATTCTGTTTTCAATATTTTTTACATTATTTTTTTTTTATATTAAAATTTATCATAACATATGATTATGTTTGACCTATTGTCCAATAAAGAGCCTAGTCGCAGCTAATCATAATATTTAAAATTTATAACTTTAATTATAAAACATCTCTGATCTCAATTACAACAAGAAGATTAATTTGTCAATATCGAACTAATGCAGAAAATTATTTACTATGGAATACTGCGATTCATTTGCGTTTATCAAAATTGCAAGAACAATGTTTCTAATCAAGTTTTGTTTTTCTATTCACGATCAAATGGTTCATCCTATTAAATAGTAAATATGTCTGGACAGTTCGTCCTAAAACAAATTAAATTTTTATTTTTCCCTTGAGAAAATTCATTCAGAGCATCTTAATTCTATTGATACTCAATTAAAAATAGCATACGCTCAATTATATTGTTCATCTGTATTTCTTTCTCTTTAGAATAATAAACACACAATATGATCTCTTGAGAAAAAAAAACATGACACATTAGATTTATTATTGCACTAGTAAAACAAAAAAAAACTGTACAACATAGAGAAGAAAAAAAAAGAGAAGAAATCTGTTAAAGTATTTCATCTTCAAATGAATGACTCATTTTAACATATGTTGCTGATGACGAACTTGATAAAGATGATGATTTATTTGTTGGTGTTCGATCAGTAAACGTTGTTAAACGAGTTGAATCATTTGTAGTTGTTGTTGATATTGATACTGTTGTCATAGCTGTAAATTGTGGTGATGGAGATGATACTAATAATGTATCATTTTCAGCATCTTCGTTTAATGATGATGAAAATGATGGTGTCAAATCTGGTGTTTTCTTATTATTTAAAGATTTTATTCTTGTATGTCGTTGTAGCAAATAGAAACAACAAATAATAAGAATAATTATAGTAAAACATGCTAAACTAATAAGAATAATTGAAATAAAATAAATAAATGTACGTTGATCAAGTTGAATTGAAGATAAAATTGAATAATTTTGGCATTCAGATTCATTAGAAACAATTAAAAGAATAAAATTTTTATATATTGAAGATAATACGTTCGATTTTCCATTATCTTGTAAATAGATATCAAATGTGTATTCTTGATATAATGGTGGTACTATTAAAGTTCCATTTGAAAAAAGTATTATATTCATTGATGAAGGATTTAGCAAAGAAAATGATATATTTCCATTATCATTTTCATCTGGATCATAACCTTCTAATTTTAGTTGAATATTTTTATTACTATTTGTTGTATTATATATATAACAAAATGGTGATTGACTTATTATCATTGGTTTATTATCATTTTGATCAAGAATTAAAATTTCTATAGATATTAAATCTGTATATAATGAATCATTTGCAATAATACGAAATTCAAATTTATTTATTTGTTCACGATCAAAACTTTTTTTTGTATATAAACTTCCATTAGAT